AGTCTGCAATTCTGTTGAAGAAAGATGTTGAATCTATTTAATTACTGGAGAAAAATAATAGATTTATGTGCATTTGTTTTATACGTGCATTAAATTAAAATCGGTTTTGTCAATTAAGCATCTTGAGGCAGAGGGTGGGGGAGTGGTTCCCTATTTTTATTCTTTTCTTTTTTTGCTGGGAGTTGGCAACCCTATTAGTTAGGTATATGTATAAATAGGTTATAAATTAGGTTGTTTTATATTTTTGCTAAGTAGTGTTTAGAATACCAGAATAGGGAGGATGGTGTAGGTTTAAGTTTATTATAAAGGTTTTATGGCTTTTCCTATAATACCATGGTGGGCCAGTCACTAGTCAAAATGCCCGGGCTGATTTTTTTGTCCCAGTCCAGCCCTGGATACTGTAATCATGTAGTCGAAAGTCTAATCGGGAGTACGTTTTTACACAGTTCCTTTAAAACAGAAACAGAAAAGTTCTAATGAATTCTGAATATTGACAGTAATACTATAACAAAGTAGGACTTTCTATATATACCATATGCTATATTATAAGCAAGAATGTTAGCTCTGTATATCATATAGTCTTAATTTATTTCATGTAAAACTACCAGGATGTCAAAGTCCAGCTAGAAGAGAGCTACTTTGGAGCTGTAGTCCCAACGTTCCCAGATCAGGAAGAAGAATGTTACGATGAATACTGGTGACACTGGTGCCCAGTAAGATTAGACAGCAGTGACAAACACATCTTCACTCAGAAACATCAATATTGTATTACTGCAGTTATCACAATGCTTCACATATTATAGCTGCATCTATTGCTGCCTGTTTGCTTTTTCCTTAACAGGTTTAAGTGGAAAACAGAGGATTTTCCTGCAGAGTTAAGGATATATCTGTCCAGGAATGGAGGTTCCCTTTCCAAGCGACTTTTGCCTCTGTGGAGCTGAGTAATGGCCCAAAATATGAGAATTTTAGTTGCTTTGTGGAGGTTCTTCTTCGCCTGTCACCTTCACTGTCACTGGCTCCTGCATCGCGGCCTCCACTAGCAAAAAGGTTTGACTCTTTTTTTCACCATTCTGCACTGTATTTGTGCCAAAGGGAAAAGGACAGTGTTGACTAATATGATGATAACAATAACATATTTGCTGTTTTAAGTTGATGATGATTTTATTTTGAATGTATCACAGATACAACAGCATAACTGAAAGCTTTTTACGCTCAACAAAGCTAAAAGATTAGTTATCTGGGTATTGATTTTGAGTCTTTTCCAGAGGGAATAAAATCTAAAAGGTGCCTTGTCAGCACTGTGACTCCTTGACTCATTGTAGGAATGGGCCTGGTTAGAGGCCAGCAAAAGGTAATGAGAGACATTGATTCGGCTCATTTGGAACAGGCAGCAGCTGCTGACAGATTAAAAGATTTGTAAAAACTATTAGTCAGTTTCAATTAGCTGAGTACTTCTGAGAAAAAGCTTTAGGGAATTTCTCATATTAAGTTATCTTGAGAATGAGTTACAGGTAATCTGATTTTATCATAAATGCAAAGATTAATTTCTGTGTTTGAGTTAAAACCCTACGCTTGATCAGATTTCTCTCCCCGACAACATCCAATGTAGCAAGATGATATAATGACCTTGAAAGTTTATCTTCACATATCAAATACTACTTGTAATGTAAGTGCTCCCACACACAGACCCTGTCTGTCCTCAACCCCACAATCCAGTGTTGCACCATCAAACCTGTCATTGAGGGCAAGCATTGGCGTTCTACCGATCTATGACTGTGACTGCTCCTGGAAAACACACACCAGGTAGAAGAGCCATCATCTAAATAGAATCTGTCATTTATTTCAAAAACTGGGTATATTTAATACTTTTTAATATCAAAAAGGTTACAGATAATAACACTATCTATGTAACTATAACAATTTAATTAGTCTCTGTTTATCCTTTCTCTTGCCTCAGGGATCTGCCTTTTTTGCCTTTCCCGATGGGACAGGCGTGCTGTACACCTTGCAAGGAGCTGCCGATCCTCCTGTGGCAGAGAACACTATTGTGCATGACCTACCTGCTAAAACTCACCACACAGTGTTGCTCCCTGTGCACAACTGGCTCTCTAGGCAACAGGGGTAAACACTTAGTCGGGAACTATATACACTTGAGCTGCTCTTAAGTGATATCTCTCTCCTTAGCAGCTAAATCACCAACTAGTTTCAACTGTGTTGTCTAAACTGAGATGAACGCACAAAATTTTACATGTTGAAATTTTCTTGCAGAAAGTAAAAAGTAAAGTGTAGGAAATGATCCCAGTTAAGCAAAGCTTTTTCGGTGCTAATATAGAAATCCATAGTTCCTGGCAAATTATGCAACAGATGTATAACAGAGCCATGAGTGTCCTCATCTGTGTTCTCAGGTTCCTTGTACGTCTAGAGACAGTGAAGCCTGACAAGCCAGATGCTACAGTGTCCCTCAAGGAAATCAAGTTTATTGATGTCCCTGCCCATGCTAAGAGGGACTACGAGACTTTTTTTTTGTTTTTGTTTTTGTTTTTTTTAACATACACAGAGCGACAGTATAACACCAAGGTTCACTCAAGCATACACATCCAGACTTGGATAACTATTTTTTTTTAGCCTTGTTCTCACATCATCCTTTTATCTTCATCCTTGGGTGACATTCATTAATGATGAGACAGGTGAGTATTTGTTCTACCTCGTTATCTTCAAAGGCAACATCTCCAGGAGTCCTGTCGACCAACAAGCTGGGGACACCTGTTCGTCAGGTGCCCTTGGCCACTATTGAAGTAGAGAACCCTCTGACCCAGACAGCCTGTCTTACTACTGAGTGCAAATGTCGTGGCATCATCGTCCAACTTCAGCCCAGTGTGCCAGGACAGTCCAAGGTAGATAATGAGTACATCTGCCATCACATTGAAAAAAACTGTGTGACTCTTATGGGCATAATGTGTGTGTCTTTTCTTTACAGGTTTTTTTGACTGTTCATTACATGCCTCTGCATCCAGGTGAGTCTACTGCCCGTCTAACTTTGTTCAGCAATGAGCTGGGCAACTTCGACTCAGAGCTCTGCCCCCACCACCAGAGCAATCTGTAGACTTCAATACTTGGGCAGCAGCCAGTCTGTCACTGTAATGTTTAACAACTACTCACGCTTCACAACCGAGTACTGCTGCAAGGTAAAAAGTGGAAAAACAATAGCCCTTTCTTCCCTTTCTGTACATTTATTCGAGCAACAGTACTGTACATGTGGTCAGTGTCAGCATTCATCACCGAGGCTTCCTTGTTATCTGCTCTCTGTAATTCATCAACACAAAAAGTTGATTTACTTGCTCTCATGGAAACACCTTGTGTTATCTCTGTCCTACAGACTGACCGTCCGGCCTTTATTGTAGACAAGAATGCCAGCGCATTACCAGTTTTCCCTTCAGGCTCAAAGGCCAGCATGGAGGTCTGTTTCGAGCCTTATCAGCTGGGGTAAATGAGAGGCCAGCTAAGGCTGTCTTCAGTAATTGGTGGTGAATACATCTTTCCCCTACAAGGGTTCTGTCTCCCCACCCAAACCTCAAAGCCCGTTCAGCATCAAAGCCACTGGGAACGTCATTATCCCCTTCAAGAATGTGTTCCTGCAGACCACCATGTTCTCTCTTCTGGTAAAGAGCAAGTAGAATTTACAAAAGTCGGCACTGTAAGACAATCGGAACAAAGAGTGAAAGTTAAAAATGTCTTATCAACAAAGCTGAAGATGGTTACAACCTTCTAAAACAAACAGCCTGCAGGCAGCCAATACACTTATTAAAAATAGGGATGCTTTACTATGGCTTATTTCCTTTAAATATTTACACCGGGTTCATTGCCAGCATTGCCTACACGGAGCAAGATGATTTAAATTTAGCCTGGAACAGATTGCAGTGTGCAGAGTGGTGCAACCTGGCTTATGTTTAGACAAATTGTACTCCTGCTTGTCTTAGATGCAGCTTTCACATCTTCAGCATCTATAAAATGTTTCGATTCAATCTATGTTTCATTTACACGTCTCTTATTCAGATTTGATGTAACTTGAACCCTGCTCATGTCTAGGTTGACAACTCCCATTTGACTGTCAAAAGAGATCGCAACATTCAATC